AGAGAAGGGGGTTTGGGCATCAGAAGCTTACAGGGGTGGCTTAAAACACAAGGCCAAACATAAACTCTGAGCAAGGCAGATAACAGTTCCGATCCTGGCTCTGCCGTTCTGTTCCTGCAGGTTACTTTTAGGCAGTACCTGACCCTTCTTCCCTGTCTGCCCCTGCATGATGGAGAGGCTCTGGGACAGGGTGAACTCTGGTTCACACTGAGGTCTTAACAGAGTGCCTAGGCTGCAGGAAGCACCCTGCAAAAGTGCATATTTCATTATCAGACACATCTCAAGGAGAGGGTGCTTCCCACTGCAAAACACTCCACCCAGCATCTCTGTTTTATGTCAGCAAAGATGGCTTGTTTAGAAAAATGTTTACAGAAATCAATATAGAACAGCGAGTTTATTAGAATGATCAATTCAGACAGTTGTGGTATAGTCTCAAAACCTGAGAATTCTGGTTTCCCAGGACTTTCTTATGAAGAAAAAAAAAAAAAGATTTTGGTCATTTCCTTCTTATTTTTCTACCCTCTTTTTGGTTTCTGATACTGGGTTTTACTTCGTAAAAATTGGCCTGGAAGCAGCAGCTATTCTCCTGTCTTGGTTTATTTTAACGATCTTAAGAGCCATAGGCTGAGCCTGATGCCTGAGAACAATGAATGCTCATAGTTTTATGTTCCTACAAAGACACAGGTCAGCTTTGTTTGGCTTGTCTTTCCAACACAGTGTGGATTGCTTCTAGCACACTGAACGACCATGAACAGGTGGATAAAATAGCCTGTGCTAGGATGGTAGATGGTTTCAAGCTTTCTGGCATTGCTCTCTTGAGAGGGGGAGCCTGGCCCAGCCTTTGTAATGGTCAACTGAGGGATGTAGTGGAAGCAAGGTTCTGGGACTTCGGAGACTGGGTTTCCCGGAAGGTCTACTCTTAGAACCCGTAGGCATCAAATGGGACATCTGGCTATATGTATAGGGCTGGAGATAACATAAAGAGTCAGAGATCTAGGTGAGCCTAGACTTCCTTCAAAAGATTACATGTGAGGGAAGACCTCTTGGACCTTCCAACCTATTTGCTGGCCAGCTAGATACCACTAAAATACCTTCATCAACCCTGTATGAAGCAGAGAATCGCCCAGATGACTCCCAACCAAATCCCCATCAAAGCTCCAGGTCTTGGATGCTTTATGATACATCAGTGAAAGGTGGCTATATACACACAGTTGGATTGTGGGACTCAGGCCTAAAGGCTAAACCAGCTGCCGACCAAGGGTTTGTCAGGGCTCGTCAATCCACCTGTGTGACACAGATGTGACTCAGAGATATATGTGTCCCTACAGGCCAGGCCGCCTGTTCTAAATGTTTTCAGTGAAACTGAATACTTCCCTTTACGAATGTTGGCTGCAAACTAGTGGTGTCAATGCGCCTCTGAAGACCAGGAGCATCAGCGAACTTTCCAGATATGGTAGTTGTTACCACATTCGTGGGGGTCAGTCTGGCAACGGAACCAGAATGTTTCTATATTCTTCAAAGGTTACAACCTGGCACAGAACATGTGACTTCAGGTGATGAGACTTAAACTAAGAGAGGTGGCTATTTCTGAGAGAGTAGTGGCTTAAGCTTTTGGCTGTTCTTGAAATGGAAGGTGAATATGATTTTTTTGGGGTGTGTGTGTGTGTGTGTGTGTGTGTGTGCACATGGCAGGGTGTGGGGTGTGGGGTGTGGGGTGTGGGGGTGTCCCAGAGCAAGCGTTTCTTGGCTGTGTGCAATGGAGCAATTTTAAAGCTTCAAAGTGCTTCTCCTATTTTCCAATCACTCAAGTCCAAAACTGATTATGGGCTCTCAGCATCTCTCGGATTCACGCTCCGGGAGCCCTTGTCTTTCAGGGAGAGGTTTCACCTTGAAAGCTGGTGCCCAGATTCAAAAGGCATTTCTTGCTACAGCAGCAGGAGCAAACAGCTTAATTGCAGCTTAGCGCCACAAGGACCAGGTGTTTTGGAAAATCACTGGTGGCCCAACTCCGAGACAGCCCAGATTCACTTTCTCTTATCTCACAAAAACAAAACACAACCTCCTCTCTAAGCAGAAAAACAAAAACAAGCCCTTTCTGAAATGGAATCCTTCAACTAAAGAGATATTTAGACTGCTCAGGCCTGTGGATAAAGACCACACACACACACACACACACACACACACACACACACACACACACAC